CGTGTAGTAAAAACTCATTGCAGAAGCAGTAAGTTTCATTTTTAGTGTCCTTCAAGAAAGGAGCGCAAAAATGTATGATCGGTCGTGAAGGCAGAACAGAGTCGTTTCACACAAGAGCTTTTTTTAAGGCTGTTTATGCTGCGACCACCAAGTGGTACCAACAAGTGAAGTATTTCCGAACCAATTTGACTTAGTCCTTTAAGATAAAATTGCACTGATTCTTAAAAAGCGGGCAACGATCTTAGCTTTTTAGTTTTTCGTCTATTTTATTTTTTAAAAATTGTTGTTTTTTAGATTAAGGTTGGTGATTCTATAAGTTTTTTACAAGATTTTGTTATGCACTTCTTGCACTTTACCTACCATATTTATTTTTTTAGTTTTTCTCTTAGGGAGCGTTCAAGTATTACGTAACGTATTTTGGGAGGGGGGGATTAAATTTTTAAGTTATTGTTAATATTTTTTTCGACTTACACCACATAATAGTAACTAAAGGTGGTCACGAAACGTTTTACTACACTTGGGTACAGTACTGTACTTTGGTACTGAAAAACGTTACGACGAGTTACATGAGGGGGGGGGGGTCAATAATCTCCAAAAATTGCGTTACGTAATACTTGAACGCTCCCTTACTAGAACCCTTAGTACGGGATAAAAAGACGAGGCGGTTGCCTGGAAGAGATCGCTTGTTAGCGATGAGGCCGCGCGATGCACTTATAATTTGCGTTATTTTGTTTTTCTATAAATGTAACTAAGTGTAAATAAATAAATAAAAATAAACGAAAATACAGACAAATAATTAATGAAACTTGGACCACACAAAAAAAAGTGTTGTTTACGTGGCGTGAAGCGATAGTTCAGTATGTAACTGTTTTCAACTATTTAAAATAATCCGTTTATAAGGTGTGATGTGATACTATACATAGCATTAACATTCTTATAAATCTATCACATACTATCAAATGTTTTTTTTTGACAGACAACGCGATCCGTGGCCGAAAACTAAACTGCAGGTTTATCAGATAAAGTGGGAGATGGTAGGTTCTGTCCCGAAGGGGAAATATGTAGGTATGTGTGTAACGAACAAGAGTGATTTTATTTTATATCCTTAAGTAACAATCTTAAATAAAACTAAAAAGATTTTAATTTTATTTAAGAAATGCCTATAGTAATTGTTTTTTTTTACTAAACTGCAGGTCGCTTTATCAGATAAGGTTGGATGGAGTCGAAGGTTCTGTACCGAGGAAGAAATATGTAAATTGTACATGTGTCACGAATAAGACATATATTATTTTATGTATCCTTAAGTAACAATATAGGAGATGTAAAAAATCTAAAAAGATTTTAATTTTATTTAAGAAATGCCTATAGTAATTGTTTTTTTTTACTAAACTGCAGGTCGCTTTATCAGATAAAGCGGGAGATGGTAGGTTCTGTCACGCACGATAAATATACATACTAATATTATAAAGAGGACATATGTATATTTATAAAGTCGGGACAGACTAGTATTATATATCTACATATTATTATTTTTTTGTAAGGAGACTCACTTGATGGTAAGTGAAAAGACCATATACACTCACATTGCAAGAGGGCTCGTAAGTGCCTTTTAAGTTCTTGAAGGAACCTAAGTCGGATTGGAAATACATCGGTGGGCAGCTGGGTTCACATGGTGGTGGTGCGCGGTAAAAACTTCCTTTAGCCTGTAGGGCGGAAGAATATATTATGATAAAAAAATATTTGTGTACAATGTACATTTCGATAATATGCTAATTTGTAGATGCGACCTAAACTAGGCTTTATTTATAGAGGTATAAAGCACAAAATAATTTGTTACTTTTTTAAACTATTAGTTAGTTATAGAATTCAATAAAGGGTTTAAAAGTATAAATAATAATTATAGATTTTTTTTTTATTACCCACTAAGTTTTTTTCGTAATTTCTCCTCTGATTACTTATGTACTTACTTTTAACCAAGTTCTATAAAATATGTTCCTGTAGCAGCGACCATTATAATTGTTCAATACATTTCCTTTGAAGCGATGAGACGCCGCATATTGTATGTTGAAAGGTTCATAGTAACAAAAGACTTGAAATATTCTTTATAATTGACAGTTTCTGTCTGTACGTTTGTTGTTTTATTCCCTTCCTCTTCACATGTAAACATTGGCACTTGAGTGACTTGGTACGAATGCGTTTAACATGAAAAATATTTTTTTAAATAGCAAAAAGAGCTACAATGTAACAAATTATTCATGCTTAATTCAAGGGGATTTAAGTTATTTGAATTTGGAATTTGTTTCAATTACCAAAGAGGTCGATCACGAACATTGTTTCAAAATCTTACTGGCTGGTAAAAAAATATCCACGCGCTCCTAATTAAAAAAAATATTGTAAAGCGCGCGAAACGTATTATTTCATTTCTTATAAATACTATTTCATGGTTTGCTCACTTTTTTTATTGGTTGCCAAACAATCTTTTTAATTATTTAATAAAAATTCCTCTATCGGCGAGTGTTTTAGGCTATATTTATATATATTACATTCATGTTATTATTTAAGTTGTCTTGAATATGGTATAGGTGTTGGAAGAACAAATTGCCTGGGATTTTATATCGAAGAATACCATACTCATTTGATAATTTATGTTATCAATTAATAAAAATCAATAATTATTATAATAGTTAACAAAATATCATGTAATTTAAATTATTTATTTTTTAATAATCGTATATTTGTCTTTATTATTGTCGTCATTATTAATTTGTCTATTTGCAAGTTGGTTTGTTACATTAATGTCAACCTTTAAGTCGGGGTTAGAACGCATGACCTCAGAGACACACCAGCTTTTATATACAATTTTTTTGATAATATGAGGCAAATTCATTGTTACATTTACGACATAGTAAAAGCTATTTGGGTGTTCTCACTTAAATTACATTCACTTTAAACGGGTAACCAAGGAAAACATATTAAAATTAAACAGTTCTTCTAAACGCCCAAATGTTGTGGTTTTCTACTAAAACCTAACCTATTACAAAGAAATAACGCTTTCACATGTTGTCTATAAAAACACAATAAGCTATTGACCCCTGTTAACTAATTTGAGACTTTTGCTGGAGGAATTTTTATGTAATAGGAGGCAAACGGAATAGGCTCACTTGATGTTAAGTGATACCTACCGCCGCCCATGTACCTTGCCAGATGGCTTGCACGTGCGTTGCCGGCCTTTTAAGGCCTTTTAAGGATTACTATATCTAGTAGGTGATCAGGCTTCGGTGCCTTAAAGCTGTCTCAAGAACATGCCATTTCTGTCACAAATATATCTTCTATGCACGTGTTATTGCATCACAGAATGAGAAATCTTTTGTTGAGATTTGCAAATAAAAATCAAAAGTTATTCCAAAGTTAGTGCTGCCCACAAGGAATGTATACAAAATTTTAAACCACCGCGAAATTAAATCACAGCTTTTTTACTTAGAAACTAGTTTAAATAACGTGGCAAAAACATATTGGCTGAATATAAAGTTATCCTAAAATATCTTTTGAAATATAATATTTTAGTTTATACTAAAATACCCCTTTCGCTGTTGCATGTTAGTACCTACGTTGCAACAGAGATGGCGCTAGCGGTTTCATAATACGTTAATCTTTAAATCGCCTATTCGTAACAATGAAATGTTTTCGTGTTGTTTGTTGTTTCATATATTTTAATAGAACCGGTTTAATAACTATCTACTAATGTGAATAAAATGATAGTTATATTTTACTTTATAACAAAACCTATTATATATTGAATGAAAATTTTTATGACTTGTTTTCCAAGGTCGTATCCATTTCTCAATGATAAAATTCATCACTCAGTTATGATTCTTATCATGAATCAATTATTGAATTGAATTATGATATTGAATTACCTACTCCCGCAAAATAATAAAAGAGCGCCATTTCTATACCTATGGCAATTTTTTGAAAATGGAATTGTTTATTCCATTTTTAAATTCAAATTTAGCATTAGTTGGTCATAATAAAAGAAACATACGTAGCTTTATAATCTATGTCAAGATCGTACACGTCTATTAAAATTCATGATTTTACAGATGATTATTATCCGGTGGTTCGTGAGCACGGTATAATTACAATTATAATTATTCATATGAAATCGTGTTTCGATTGTCTAATTTATATTTTTGTACACGTACTTTGTTAGATTTTTTATTTGATGTTTTGACAAGATTTTAGAAATATTAATGAGAATTGAAGTAGTTCCTGTCCTTCACCATAATAAGGTGACTGAATGTTTTTAACTAAAATGAATTCTGTTATGTACAATGATTTTATCTATCGATTATAAGAAATGAAATTAATAAATAAATGTAGAAAAAAATATAATATTTGCCGAAAAATCAAGTTGATGTATTTTGTGATTATAGTGTTACATATTTATGTTATTCTTAAACTTTATTTAAATAAATGAATTACGTTGAAACAAATTATTGATACATTGAATCAAATGCATGATAGCGTAATCATATTTAACGCTCGGACTTAATAATATATCATTCACGTTCGGTTTTCAAATGGGTAAGTTTCAAGCGGCTTATGAAACGTCGGAATTCCAATTATGAACGCAATTTGAAAGAGAAATAGACTATAGAGCGTAGAGTGTACGGTACGCCGTCGCAGGTATGTGGTATGTGTTACGTAACGAACGACATAGGATGCTTTAGTTCTCTCGTGTTTACAGTGGCCGAGAGCAGTGTCGCTTGTCCCCACTGCGCATCGATCCGCTCCGCCCAGCACTCGCTCCTCCCAGCCGCCGCCCGACCTCCGTCCCCCCCGCCCCTCGCGACACCCTCTCACTCCTGCACTCACCTCCCGGCCTTTGTCGCGCTGCCGCCCGCCCGCGCGGTCACCTGTGTCGCACGTCCTCAGTCGCTAAGCGGCCGCCACGCGCGACACCCGCTTACTGCGCGCTATACTATTATGACAGTGACGTGATGGACGGCAAAGAGTTCGGTGCCGTTCCCGGCTTGCCGGCTGGATTGGACTACTTTATGATGCCTCGAGTCGCTCAACCGACACCGCAATTCGACTTTAGAAAACTCGGAGCGAGCTTCAGCGGCCGTGATGAAGAAAAATTTGACGAAAGACGCACCCCGGATTATCCGTCGGAGCGAAGAGATGCGCCTGCACCCTGGCCGCTCGGTCTTGGTGTTCAGTTCGTCAACCCGGCCACGGGAAAAAAACGAGTGCAGTGCAATGTTTGTTTAAAAACTTTTTGCGATAAAGGCGCGTTAAAAATTCATTTTTCGGCTGTGCATCTACGGGAAATGCACAAGTGTACGGTCGAGGGTTGTACTATGATGTTTAGTTCGCGGCGTTCGCGTAATAGACATAGTGCTAATCCCAACCCGAAGCTACATTCACCGCACGTAAGACGCAAGATATCAGCGCACGATGGCCGATCAGCTCAACCATTCCCCTTGTTACCGGCATTGGGGCGATTACCACTTCCGTCTCCAGCACTGCTGCCGCCTGAATTAGCAGCAAGGCTGCCTCCACAACTGGCAGGTCCACACGGACCTACACCACTGCCTCCTCGCGTGCCCCTTGAAGACCTGCGCAACTTCAGTGAAATTGAAAAAATGTACAGGAAGATTCCCACCCCTGAAGACTCTTCACGTCATGCTTTGGACCTCGTAAAGCCTCAAGTGAGCTCAGACTGTGAATCTTTTAGTTGCAATGATAGTAGTTCTGAAGTTTTGGACGTTGAAAAACAAGAGCATATTGATTATCAATCATCACCTGGGACAGAAAGACAGGGCTACGATGATGAGCCGGAAGATTTGACTGTGAATAAAAAGAAGGATGACATTAAGCCAGCAGATGGTAAGCATACTGAAATAAGTACCAGTAATAGAACCGACACCACCGCTGAAGATAAATCATCATTAATTCCAAACAAACGAAAGAGAAAAAGTGGAAACCCAACAAGGTGTTCTCAAAATAATGAATATAGTGTATCGGATGAAGAATATAATAGCGATTTATTTAAAAATTTATCAGTCGCTGGTACAAGTCAACAAACAGAAGAACCTTTATCTCTTAAAAAGCAAAAGCCTGAAAAATGGGAGCCATTTCAGAATGGCGACGAAACAAATGTGGAAGCGGAACAAATGAGCCGTGTAAAAGCGGAAAGTGAATCTGATGATGAATCAAGTGCTCCGAGTGTAGTAAGAGAAGGTTTAAGATTACGTTCAGACCTTTACACGCCTAGTGACAGTGGCAGTGACTTACATGCGTTAGAAGAGAGGCTTGCGCGAGTGCGATCTCCTTCAGGAAGTAGTGACAGGACTGACGACAGAGCTGACATAAATGACATCGAAATCCCGATAGACGAAGAAAATCCCGATCGATGTACTGCGTGTGGAAAAATATTTCAAAACCATTTTACGCTCCGTATGCACTACAGAAACGATCACCTGAAACTTCATCACCCTTGCGATGTGAGCGGCTGTGATGCTGCATTTCCTTCACGACGCAGTCGAGACAGACACAGCTCTAACATAGACTTGCATAGAAGATTACTATGTACCTCATCACCAGACAATCGCGAGCGTCCCCCATTTGAAGTAAACGCGGAATTGTTAAATAAGTTATATTCAGACATCAAAGGGCTCGCCTCGACACTTGAATGCCTTCGATATAACGGCGACGAAGCTTCACAGTTGCCTAATTATGTATCTGAAACAATGAAGTTCTACAGTCGAAACCTAAGTGCTCTACAAGCTGGTCTGTTTCCTCAACTCGGAGAGCGGTTTCTTCCAGCTCCGTTTCTGATGAACAATGGAGCTTCACAACCAGGAGGACTATACGGGGCCCCGGCAGGAGCTCAGTCAGTTAGGGAGTCATTATCCCCATTATCCGCCTCATCTCCTCCAGTTATATCGCCCGGGAGGCTAGACGCAGCGCACGCGCGCCCGCGTGACGATGCTAAGCTGCTTTTTCGAGAGACTTCTGAATCATTTAAGAAAATGACCTCCCTATGCGAGCGACAGGAGCAATTGTACCAACACCACGTTCCCGTGTCATGACGCTACCCTTACAACTCTCGCGCATCTTGGTGATACACTCCTTAAAGCGTGAAAGACTATGTAAATATATCTAATTGTTAATAATATTAATTGTGTTAATTCTATCATAATTCGTTTTGTATTTTTCTTGTGATATTTAGACAAATATATCGTAATCCCAAGAACTGTAAGTTAGGGATATTGCCGCTTATTTCTGTTGAAGCGGTGTGCAATAATGTCTTTGTGGACAGTATTTCGTGTAGAATATTCGTAATTGATGTTGAAAGTAAACGTTATATGATCAGCTTCATTTATTGTTCTGGCGCAATAAACTCATTGAGGAAAAGTTAATTGTTTTTATTTCCGATAGTGCGAGCATGCGGATCGAAGAGGTAATCATGTAACGCCTTATTAATAACACTGTTTACAAGTGTACTTTGTGGGGTCGCTCGAGTGTAACATCTGCCTTAGGTTTTTCATTCTTTGTCATCACGCTTATGCCCACGACTATTTTGCCCTTATACGAGATTAAATTATACTATAAATATTCATACAAGTTACAACTATCAAATGACAAATATGTTAAGTGGGTCACAAAAACATGTAATCAATTCAATAATAAATTAGTAACGCAATAATTAATATTTTATAGTTATGAGTAGGTTCTATGCATTTTAAAAGCTTGATTTACTACTGTACAACTTCCGTATTCAAATGAACATGTACCTGTCACATTCAATACTAAAAATAATTATGAATAACAAATTACGAACATTTTATATCAATTATTTATGAAGATTAATCAGAGGTTTGGAATCTAATTAGAAATTTTAACAAAATTCAGAATATTAAATATTTATTACCCAAGGCAAAGTGATAGATAAACAATAATGTTTTACCATGGTTAAATCTTATTTACAATTATTCATATAAAATATAATATTCCGGTCAGTCACAGTACGTCTACATGCAGACTTGGTAAGTATATATTAGGCATAAATAAGATAGAAAAGCAATATAAGCCAGTTCGTCTCAAACCTTGTAATCAAACAACCATACTATATTTTAAGTATATGTTAAATGAGTGGGAGTCAAAACGGCAACACTGATTTCACTAGAGAATTACATGACTATTTCAACCTTATATTTCGTGGTCAGTATGCCTCTATAATATGTGGATCATAGATTGAACGAGTGTAACAAATTTTAGCCTATTATTTATAGTACGTAACCCTGGAAGCGCTTAGCACGGGTTGCTTGAAAAATCTTAAGAAAGCTTCCTTAGATTATGTTTAGAAATATTTGATGAATAAAATCGTGTTTTCAATTCTTAACTATTCCACTTTTATAAAGCTGGATTGGAATAATTTGTTTGTCGCTACTAAGCCTAGCCGTCTCTTCACATAGATTAGGTAAATATAATAAAGACATTCCTATCGTTTCAATTTTCACTTCAAAGGCACTGTGTTTTCTTTTGTTTCACCGCCGCCATACATATCATTAATCCTTGGAGCCGTTTCTGCAGCACTGGTGCCACGGTGGAACTCCTTCTCGTAAATAACGCAATGTTTCATGTTTTCAATTTTATAATAGTGACGCAAGGAAAAAAATTAAAGCGGGAAAATGAAATGAATAAATGAATGGTTTTCGAAAAACAAATGCACGAGTAAATAGCTGTACAAAATTTGAATTTGGAAATCCTAACCAAAGAGGAGATATTTGAGTTCAAAGTGGCCAGTACGACAAAAAGCTAAAAATATCACTGTCGCGGCAACACACACGCTGTAATTTAGCTATCTGTTGAGAGAATTGACGTGTCTACGGATAACCTTAAGCTTAATAATAGGTTTGTGATCAAACGCTAGACATAATTCAAGATTTCAAACAAAAAATATCCGTTTTTGTGTTTTTACACGCATGACTAGTTTTTTGCTAATCTTTTTTCTTTTATCCGATGCAAATTGCAGTCAAGGTAATATAATTCGGATGTAATGTTAAGTATATAAGGTACAAGTTTATCTATTCGTGTTCTTTATCACAGGCAAGTAGCTTTAAAAGTGTTCTATTTACAATACTGAGTACGTAGAACTTTCTACTCGCTGTGATGATATTAAGGGTTTCGTTTTACGCTTGGTTTGATTGTGATAAGCATCCTTATTAATTAATTTTCTTATTAAATTTCAAAGTTTATTCATGAAATATAAATTAATATCTCAATCATCAATTGCTGATATTATACAATTGATCTAAAATTGTATTTTTGTCAAAACTACTGGACTGATTTCAAAGATTCTTTCAGCATTACAATGCTACATTATCCCTGAGTGACATAGGCTATAATAAATATTTAAATGTCCAGCTATTGTTAATAACAAAATACAAAAAAGAAAAAAATAGGTTTGGTGACGCTCGCCTTCATTTGACAACCATTATTTCAAACCTTTAAAGCCTTTGTTACAGATTTGTTATTTTAACTGTGATTTCAAAAGGTACTTAGAGAAAATTATTGTATAAAATTTTATTTCATTAATTAATTTAAGAATCAGTTCATTATCCCTAGAAATAAGGATATACATACATATGTTTAAAATAACAAACATTTTTAAATCTAATACACACAGACGACAACCTACCAATGTAGCCTGTGGCTTATTTAGATAATGATATTTTATTAATTAGGTATGTCGGTAGTTATAGAGTACCTACTAATATATTATGTTCGTGTCAGTTCGCACGATGTTTTCCTTCGCCGTACCAAGTGTTTATCGCGCATATAAAATATATTTTTAGAAGTTTGAACGACCTTAAGGTTGAATGAACATATTTAATTATATTTTATTATTATAAGACCTATAAGGGCTTACGGAGACACATTACTATAATAAGTTGTACATAGTAATGCATCAAATATATAATAGCGATGACATTTTTTATACTTTTGTTTGGTTACGTTCTCGAATTTTCTTCCCCCATTAGTTTCCCCATATATTACTAACACACAAATATACAGTATTTACAATATTCTTAGCCTACATAGTAATAATAATAATTTAAAATGTTTGTAAGTATATGTGGCAGTGTACCTTTAATGAAGCATTTCCTCGCTGTATTGCGATATTTTTTCATTAGGCGAGGAAAGCACTGGCTCTGGGGTCACCGGTGCTATCCAGGCGGCAACTTAAATCTTTAACCCCGCTTGAAACCCACGGCCCAAGAGTCTATTCCATAGGGAAACTCCACTTAAATAACAGCCGTTTATTATTTTCTCTCTCAGCGCTTTTTGATTTCAGGCTTTGATTCGCAAAATTATACAGCTACAGCTGAGTTTCATTATCGGACGTCAAGGCAGAATACAAGATACCATCCGTATCACCCGACGTCCGTAGTTTCACAACTGAGCGTTTTTTAAGACAGTTTTTGCCGCGAACCACCACTATGTGAATCCAGCTGCCCACTGAAGTATTTCCCAACCAATTCGACTTAGGGTCCTTCAAGAGCGTACCAACTCTTGAAAGGCCAGCAATGCACTTGCGAGCCTTCTGGCAATGTGAGTGTGCATTGGCGGCGGTATGACTTAATATCAGATGATCCTCCAGCCCGTTTGCCTCCTGTTACATAAAAAAAACATGTTTTTTTTATATTTTTCCTTCGAAGTTAAGTATGGGTATACGTACAGGTTACTCCTTTAGTAAACTGTAACTTCCTAAAGCGATAGTCATCTCGATATGTTTTATGCAATTTTGGCGTAATTCTCTCAATATCCGTAGCGCTGACGCAACTCTTCAACTCCACAGGAGTTAAAGTGTGTTCACTATGGTTCGTCATCATCATGGCAATGTCCTTGCGGGTGAATTAGTATTGCATAGGAGAACAAAAAACGTAATATAAATTCAAAGGTAATAAGATAATTGCGTTAATTTTAATAATAATAATTTCGAAATTAGACTAATGTTCTATTACTTTAAATTGCCGTCAATTACGGCTGCCAAGGTTTTGGCAACTTTGACAAAACGATTTAAAAACGAAGCCATTTGTTGTCACGAAGGTTGTGGTAATTTATTATGAAATTACGTAACTAGCGTGGATGAGTTTATCCTATATATTATAATTTACATTTAAGAAAGCTGTCCAAGATAAGTGCAGGTTTTAGGTAGGAAACCACCTAAGTCTGTTTCTTACTTTCCCCCTGGTAAGGTAAGGTAGGCAAATGTCTTGCATAAAAGTTGCAACCCAGGAGAAATAATCCTTCAAATGCAATCTTTTGTGGCAATTCTGTAAGCTCGTCATATAAAACACAAATAAAAATACTCTCGAACCAGATTGTCGCGTTTATAATTTAATAGTTTATTTGTTTATATCTAGGTGATAACTGATTAGCTTCAAATGTTTTGCAAAAGATTAACTTTTCTCTTAAAAAATAAATGGATTAAATTGACAGTTAAAGAAGGTTAGTTTACTTCAAAAAGTCGTACAGAAATCGAATTAAAATTATTTATTCCGTAGATCCTTACGATAATTATGAATACAAGAGTAGTTAAATTAAATGGATAACTCTGAGTTCGGTCAGATACAGTTAATATACGCTTTAACGTACATTTTTCTTTGATAGACGATTTATCTAGTAAAGAGGGTGATACATAGTTAGATCAAAACCCTATACTATCCGGGGAACTTAAGTTTAAACTACACATAGCCCCAGGGCCTGATATTAATTACGTTTGTCAATCTGCGGTCACAGTCTAACCCATCCAACAATTTCGTATTAATTATAGAGCATAATATTAGTTTGTTTAATTGCTCCGTCGTAGCCATACCTAAATAAATGTCTTGACTATATTTTTTTGGTAGTTGTCAAAAATGATAGACATATCACAATTACAGGATAAGTAAAAAAATATATTAAGAAGTTATAATACTAGAAGTGCTCTATATTGTTTCATAAATAAATAAGCCTTTATTGTTGTTAACAAGTTTTACACAGAGTAGTTTCGTGTGCCTAAAATTAATTTACTTATGACTAA